TCGAATAAAAAATTTGAATAACATGCAACTCGTTCGCTTCAACATTTGTACACCCCTGGTTCCTGAATCAGGCATACGCTAGCGAATGATTCACTCATCTAGGGAGCTGTTTAAATCACCGTGAAGTCTTAATCCGAATTTGTTTCGATTTTAAATCTGGGTCATAAACCCATCTTTGGATTGATCCAGAGAACCGCCCCTGCCGCAACGAGTCTCACGTGTTCCTTTGATAAATATTCTCAAGAGAGACAGTATCGCTTCCGCCACATGGAGATCGCAGTTAATCTCTCAGTCTCTTCCTGAAATCGCTGAAGATATTAGCGTTCGAGCTTGTAGAACATTAGTTTGCGTATGTTGAAATAGGGGAGGGGTGGTAGTATTTCTATAATTTTTCCTTGGGTCCACGATTTGAAAAATATTTCATGTTTTGGAGAATTATAATTGTTTTATTTCTTTTTTTTTACTTTTAGCTTTTGGCGCTTTTCCATTATCATTCAGGAATTGGGAAAATTCCGAGGAAAGACAGAAAGTAATTGAAAACATCAATGAAAACAGAGATGGGTCATCACCCGAAGATAATTGAGGATAGTAACAATCGAAACGTCGCGAAGTAACTTGGCTTGAAATCTTTTGATTTTTATTCCATTTCAATTGCTCAATTTTCAATTCAAACATACATGGGCGAGTCATATATAGATTTTTTTTCAAATGCAAACTCATTTAGTTAATACTCAATACCCTGAAGATTCGTAGTGAGATTGAAATAGATGTCATTCACAGGAACGCTATACACAACGTAATATATGAAGAGTTTTGATTCAATATTTCACTTGCATGAAAAATTATGTATATACAGGGTGTTGTTAAACATGCAACTAAAAATTGAGGGACTATTCCTTGTACTATTCTAAGAATGTTTTGTACTTTGATGATTTTTGATAGGGCGCTTTGTTACGAAGATACGGGGTGAGCTACCAAGTAATAAAAAATCTAACGAGTCATTGTAGATTAAGAAACATAACTTTTCCATCTGTACCGCTCCCTCTAAGAGAGCCTTGAGAACTTTCCTGTAGTTCTTGTGTTTTGTCTTTGTGTTCACATCCAGATTTTAAACAGATTTTTAAACAGACAGCTATGAATAATGAATGGACTGACCGGTTACTTGATGAAAATATATAAAACTTTCCATGATAATAACTAAACAATTTTCATAAACATTTTTGATTTCTAGACGCATTTAGCTAACACCGTAGCTTCCTGATAGAAATGAATATTTCACTCTGGGCTACAAGTTTTATATACAACATCAGTAGGTACCTACCTAACTTAATTGTTTAATAGTAAATGAGATAACGGGTAGAATTTGTAAAGCAATTACAATTTCAGTTCATGGATAGCATGTGAATTTTTATACATGTAGCCCCATGTGTATAGTCGAAGTAAACGAAAGTTGCGGCACTCTCAAAGGTCAAAAAAACCAATACATAGAAATAAACCGGCAGCGAACCAATTTACGTGGACTGTATACTTGGCGGTTCGTATTGAATAATTTTTACCAACCGAATTTTATGATTGGCTGAAGAGTCATAAAATTAAATTTCAAGTCATGTTACGGTGACGAATAGCAATCGGGAATGCGGGGATGGTTATCGCCGTCCTGTTCAGTTCAGGAACCGATCGCGATTTGAGTGTTGAAATTCGATATTGGTGTAGTTATAATTACTTAAAATGTTTGTTATCTGTTTAAAATTCGACGACAAGTACCAATAGTAATAACGAGAGTGATAACAACGTAGAATTTTTCTAGTGTATAGTGATTCCAATAGCGATGGTGAACAAAGAGAGTATGACAAAATGGTTTAGACTTTCACGGCTGAGGTTTTCAATGCCATTGCTTTTCGAGTTTGAAAGCCGTGGATTTTTGGAATTTCTTCCTGACGTTTCGTTGGGGCGAGAGGTTTAACCATCATGGCTTGCTGTCCGATGACTAAACCTTAAAGCCGAAGCCTAAAGAAGTCATCGGACAGCAAGCCATGATAGTTAAACCTCTGAAGAAACTAGCCATTCGCGCCAAAGAAACGTCAGGAAGAAATTCTGAAAATCCACGGCTTTCAAACTCGAAAAGCAATGACACTGAAAGAGAGTATGTTCCAATGTATGTATATAAGAATCTACATCTTTGTTTGTTGACAAAGTTACACTCATACGGCATTCGTGGCGTAGCACATTACTGGATTTCATCATTTTTAGAAAATAGGCAACAATATGTTACAATTAGTAACCATAGTAAAAGTACTTATGATAAATGTAATTCAAGTTTGTTAAATATTTCAATGGGTGTTCCACAAGGATCGGTATTATGGCCAATATTGTTCCTTTTATATATACAAATGATTTGGAATAACATATCAGGAATACTTCTAACAATTTATGCTGACGATACGTCTTTAATAGTATCTGACATGGATGAAAACTCACTTTTAGACAAATGAAAATATGCTTTGCAATCTGTTATAAACTGGTGCCGAGCTAATTCTCTCTATCTCAATGCTAACAAAACACAATTGGTTAGAATTCATAATCGACAAAAACATTGCGTGCTTATTCAATTTCAAATTAAGAACATGTCAATTCTGGGAAAAGAAGAGACAAATTTTTTGGGAACCACCATTGATGCATGTTTGACATGGAAACAACACTGTTCGAATTTAATGGGTAAAATTGATTCATTAGGTTATCTCTTTAGAAACCGAACAGATATCTTGACAGATCAGCAACTTTTGGCACTATACCATGCTCAAGTAGCTTCCAGACTGAGACATGGCATATGTATGTGGGGTAACTCGACTTCGATATCAATGGTAGGTATTCGTTGCGCAGAAGTTTATTTTGAGAATAATGGCCAAAGCCTCAAAAAAGGCCTCTTGCAGAAGTTTACTTACACAATTTAACATTTCAACTCTTGTCAGTATGCATATATTCGGATTGTAAATTTTTGTCTTTAAAAACAAACATAAATTTATCACCAATGAAATCATACATAGTAGGAATACTCGTCAAAAATATAACTTCCACATACAGTAAATATAAGGTTACTTCTAATTCACCTTATGTGATGGGCCCAAATATCTTTAATAAGTTACCAAACGATATTAAGGAGCTGAATAAAATTAATGAATTTACCCGAAATCTGAAAAAGTATTTAATTGATAGTTGTTTTTATAATCTAGACGAATTTTTTATATCATATCATAGTTTTCTTTTGTATTGTATTTTATATTATGTGTTAATTTTAGAGTGTTTTTATATTGATACGGACACTGCCTTTTCATGTGTTCTTCATTGCTGGACAAGGCCTATACATTCTTATATGTCAAACGGATAATCAATAAATAAATAAATACATCTCAAGTTTGTTTTCGAGGGAAACAAACTATTACAAGCAAGCAGATTTGACCGAAATTCCTTTCACAACTGTACGGAAAATAGTCAAAAACAAACCTTATGATTACCTACTTTCAAATGGCAGAGGTCCAGTATTGGACCTATGTCATTTGCAGGTAAATTTGGAAATTTCGGAATGAAACACATGTCTTATCACCGTATCAGCACATTACAACACAAAACATATAACATTACAACTCCATGTGACCGAAAGAGACAAATCTGCTCTTGTCACGGTGTAGTACCTATACACATAATTCAATTTCACTCATTTTGTTAAAATTGAAAAGGAAACGGGAATTCAAACAATGAGGGAAAATTTATAGGTATCAAGATGGAGAAATAGGAAGCCAAAAAAGCTTTGGGAAGCTTCGTCAATACTTCAGAGGTATTAAAAGGATACTGATCTGAAATTATAGATATTGAATAGATGAAAAACTTGTTTTTAATACAGACAAACTCAAGAATTATTCAGGGTTTTTTTTTACCTACAGAAATATAAATTAACAATGAGTACAACAAAATCAAAACAAATTGTCCACTTAACTTTTAGTTTCTTCAATTTTGTAATTTTTTTCAACTTCTCATTTTTGCAAATAAAAATTAGTAATTGTCCACAAAAGTCAGTTATTTGGCGGACACGCCAGAAAACCGTTAGTTGGGAGAATAAAATTGGCGAAGGCTGTAGTTGAAAATAAAAATATAACTACAGTCACCAAGATATTGACAATAAAAGGAATGTGAGAAATAGTTGTGTTATGAACATAACTCACTATATAATGAAAGGTCACCATCAAGTAGAAACAGTGAAAGTTGGGGTGATGGGAAAGAAAGAAAAACTTGAGCTGAAAAAGGAAAGTACTAAATATACATTTTTGAAAAAGAGGCGACGAGATAAAAACTAGGTGGACAGAGTTGCTTTATGTCACTAAATTTCACTTGTTGTTGATGTTTTCCACAACAGTTCTCATATTCCTGCTGTTTAAACGCATTATGTATAACCTGTTACCGACCATCTTTCTCGGGTTACTAGACCTGCCTCGGAAACTTTCAAAAGTAATTCGATATTTTCCACCAACTTTTGCGACTTCTGACGACCCCAACCACCGATAGTGTAAATATTTTCCCCTCAACTATTAATTCCTACCTGCTTTTTTCAAATCGTCACGCCGCAACGCCTCAGAAACGATCAGATTACAAGAGCCTGCTAGATATTGGAGAACCGCCGCACAGATATGGCGTAGAACGCTAGCACCCTCTGGTATAATTCCGACCAGTGAGTGTGTAATACCCGTGGCGCCCTCTTAACGGCGAGAATGCCTTCCGCTCCAATGAGTAAATTATTCTCACCGATCGATTCTATGTCCACGCCCATTCCCGACCGCTATTGGTCGACTGATGCGACGGCTTGTCCCGATTGGATGGTGAGCTAGATCTGTTGACAGTTGTAAACACCTAGAAAGGTGTACATAGAGCATCCGCGTATGGTCGAGTGATAGATTTGTGGACTGTATGTTTATTCGATTCAGTTTAACTCGTGTACCGTCTAAGGGAGCACTAAACTGCTGGTTAGTTGACCGTTTGGGTTCGTGTTGAGCGTGCTTCAATTTTTGTAGCTCATTGAATCTTGACGCTTCTCTAGTCAAGTAGCGAACAATTGCCTAATTGCTCAAAAGTAATTTGATTCCTTATTTTAATTGGAGATCGACGAGCTTGATTGTTTTTTTGACTTGGTTGATTTGAGATTTTTTGAACGGGACGTGTTTAGGCGTGTGTTAGAACTTGGTGATTTTGTTCGATAGAGTAACGACGAGCGGTGTCATACAGTATTACTTTTTCCATTGAATGTAAGTACTTTATTTTATAAGAATGGCATCTCAGAATAAATAACAACCGTATTTTTGTTATTATGCATTTTACATGCAAAATTAAACTTGGTTAAGTATGTTGAACTTTTTTAGAACCATGTACCTACTTAGATAAATCCTAATTTTACATTCCATTTCTGCTGAAACTATTGATAGTTAATTGTGTTCTTATCATTCCAAAATATAGTGTAGTATAGTTTACTTCTGATTATCTATGTAGATGTCAACATTTTGACTTCATAAGTAGGTACCTACATGAAATAATAGCACACAAAAATTGTTAGGTACCTTGAAATATGTAGGTATTTACTTCATTTCAGTATATAGATATATAAACAATGTAATTTCATTACATAAATATTAATAAGTCATCTTAATATTGGAGAAACATTTTTCAACTACCGACGCATCTTCATTCGACATCGGAGGCGTATTTTCTCAAAGACCTATACCTATAGGAAAAGACGTACTTATCTAATATTGCCAATACCTAAATAACTTGTTCCGTTGAAATCAAATAATCATATTCAGAAGGTGAATTAGGTAGGTACTAGCTTCTATAAATATGGATCTCAACTTTCAGTCAAAGACTACATTCAAAATTGAATTAATATCAATTCAACGTTATTTGCACAACGCCGGGGAATTAAAAAAATAATCCAGAATCAAAGTATGAATACACTGACCCATTTATCGATGAAAATTAATGACACTATATACATGATGATAATCATACAATTTTTACACTAATATGAATTTTATTCAAGACGAATTTCACTACGACCACCAAGAACTTATTCTCTCATTGTAATTGTTTTTTCGAAAACTAACTGTACCTATAGGTGTTTCCATAATTAATCATAAATCTAATTGAGTTTTGCATGAAATGCCAATAATTCACGTCTTTATAAATTACCTGTTTTCTTAGAAATAATTTTGTATTGCAATTATTTTTTCAAAATATATCTACCCGTTTTATTAGAATCAATCATTTATCCAATTGATGTAGTTATACCGTATAATTATTATCATGAATAGAATCATTCAAGTGAAATATGATTGAAATTTCATACAAATGAATTAACATTTAATGAATAAATTGAAATTTCAAATATAGAAGGGGGCAGTTCGAGAATTGATCTTTGTTATAGTTTTTCAAAAGTAATACATCTTCATTTTTCCTCCATACAAATATAAATGGATTACGATAGATTCAGCTATTTTCACACATTGTTCACATAATTCAAAAATTCAGATGAAACCTTTCTTTCCTTCAAATTCAGTATCGATCAATATAATTTTAGGTGTCACAGAATTTTTTATGGGCAACTTTGAGATTCGAATACCCTATCTTATATCCATTTTCTTTATTTTATAAAAAATACTTGAATTTGTAAAATTCTCTATTAAAAAATGCAATTGAAACTTTTGCCACAGAATAAATCTAGCATTAATATTCTTTCCGCACATCAGAACTGTAACTATATAATTTTTGACGCAAGTTTCAATTATAAAGGTATCATCTAAGTTTATCATCCCAATAAATATCAATCCTCAACATTTTCCTAAATATAGGTATTCATTTTACTCACCTACCTATGAATTAGAAGAAAATAATATTGTTAATACATTTTTATCTCACATTTGAGCAAGATTAAATTTTTTTCAATAAAATATACGTTTTTTTTTACCAAAAAACAATATTTTAGAGCATGTTTTGTTCAATATTTGTGCTCCGGGCTCTCGTCTTTCCCAACAGTTGTTACTGGTGTAATGAACACGATATGACTGTGTAGCAGTATAGCATGTGTGAACCTATTCGGGCTCGCCCCTATATTTTTGTTTTTTCTGGTATCAGTGTGTAATTTTGGTGGTTCAATTGGTATCAAAGAAGTACTGATTTGATTTCCACATAGATCAAACAAATCAAACATGCTTCAGTGGTCATCATCATTGAGAGACAAAAAAGTTCTGTTTATACTCGGTAAATTTAGATAATATGCTGTGACATTCCTACAAAATTTTACCGAAAAATATTACCTATTTAAAAATGAGCAATATAAATATGTTACCTAAACATGTAACTTCGTGAATTATAAACTGATGTAGAATTCTTTTCTGCTGTGCAAACCACTTGAGTAGAATCATTGGTGCAAATCTCCTGTCTCCATTCAATAAAGCTAATATTTACACAGTAGGTAAATATTACCCAAATCTACTAATTTTAAAGAGATCGTTATACAGATATTTATAAAGGAAGTTCAATTTTCAAATCCTGATTTTCTGTTAACCATCAGTTATTGATCTCTCACTTATGACAACCCTCAGAAGTCTAAACTTGTGCGAACCAAGTATTAACGAGGTCTCGCCGTTCAACATGCGATTGGTAGCGGGGGTTGGTTGAAATTCAATAAAAATCGATCGATCGTCCGTAGGGTTCGAGCGATCATTCTATATCGTGGTTGATTGAATGACTAGAACGAACTACTCACCCAAAAAAACCGGCTATACCGTTCCACGAATGAGACCATATCGGTTGTTTTTTTAGAAAGGGTAGAGAAAAGATTAAACGTAGGTTTCAATTCTTGATTTTCGTTCGAAAAACATTTCTCATTATCGTGTTCTATGAACAATGTCGCTAATTGATAGCAGAGATGTGACACAACTGATTTGCAAAAATCTCTAACAGAATATTTTGTACTTTTCCACGATCCTTCAAATGTCGATGATGAATATCAAATAAAAAAACAAGTTTGATGATTTCATCTCTCATCTGGAAGAATTTTATAGCTGTGTGCGATTCAGCATCAGAAACAGTCAAAATAACGTCTAAATGATTGTACAACTCAACGAGAGAGCTGTCCCCTCAATAAATTCCACTGGAATCAATCAATTCGCCCCGTAGAGCCAATTGATTTTTGTTGTTTTCTTTAACCCCCTCCCCCCTGGTATCAAACCGGAGTTTATTTTGCCACAGAAATTTCGAAATACATTGAGTTACTACGTTTTATATTGATATTTCAGATTTAATTATGAATGTCAGAATTATGTTGTATATTTTTTTATTGAGTGTAGCTAAAAGGACTGTTATATTGGTTGGAAACGAAACATATTTAAGGAATCCGGCCGGTACAGTTCGAAGTTGGGACATGTGAATAGGATGTGATTTATATCCGCCAAAGGAAAATTGTCACTTGAGCATAATGGATTTACATCAATGCCTATTTTTGCCAGGTGATTATATCTTGCGGGGAGCTGATATCAGTTATCAATTCTAGAGAGGTGGCTTCCCTCGCTGCCAAATCTAATTTTTCATTTCCGCCAATACCTAAGAGCCCTTGTATCCAAATGAAAACAATATCCATTTCATTAGATACTGAAGAAGTACTCTAAGGTTTTTATAATTTCAAAAATAAGTGAATTTTTATTGAAATGTCTTTTTTAATTAGTAAGGAAAAGAATGACAGATTTGGAATCCGATAAAATGACTGAACTAGCTTCGCCATTAAGTTTAACCCGCAAAAGAGCTTGAAGTATAGCAAAAGCCTCTGCTGTGTGAATCGAAGTCTTATTGGGAAGGTGGAATTGAGAAATAATATTTTTGTTTTGTATATAGAACGCACTTCCAGTGACATTAACACTTTTAGACCCATCACAGTACATTTTGTTGGAAGATTCTATTGTTCCCAGTACTGATTTTGTTAGAGCTTGATTGATATGATAATTTACAGAGAAGTTGGGGAATATAACCGTTGGTTTGAACATCAACATAGGAAATTCCAGCTGAAACTGAAACAATATGTTCTGAGAGTTGATATCATTTATCCTCTCTGATATTTCAGCAAAGGCTTCAGCCAAAGGTGATTTGTTTTTGTGGTTCCAGTATTGATTAACGAGATTTTCAATTGATATACAGTAAACGGTCCCCACGGTTATTATTACATAATTTGATGTTGGCAAATTTCTTGCAGGACAGAAAATTTCTGCGTAGAAAGAGAGGAGCTTCCGCAAGTATAGCTTGGGTTGGAGATGATTTAAAGGGACCGAGACAAACTTTTGAGGCTTTTGCTTGCACTCGGTCTTATAGTAACAGATTCGACTCTGCGGCCGATACAAATACATCCATAAATTTTTGTTGTTGTTTGGTAATTTCATAATTTCCATTAGGTACTTTCTTTTTTATATATACACAATTTCAATAACAAAAATTCATCTCAGTCACAAATAATAATAAACGTATTTATTACTTTGCTTTTGAAATTTCGGAAAAACAATTTGAAAACAACATAAAGTTTTCCAAAAGTAGAGGGTGTTTTAACTGAATAAATCCATCTACCGAGCTCTTTTTCCATTCAACTCCTGAAAGTATCTCTGAACTAATATACGTTGTAATCAGGACAATGAAATAAAGTCACGGTAGTGCGGTAATTGATATTTTTCCTTATTTCTTTTTTCTTCTCGATATTTAATTTTCAAGGCTTCTCCCAACTCACCGTCGGTCCAAATTATCTCAAAACAAGCTTTATTGTCCCATCCATTCACTCCCAAATCCCATAAATACCCGCTGCAGATAAATTGTTACTAATTAGTAGATACAAGGGCCCCTTCGGCAGGGCGTATATATAACAAATACAGAGACCCAACACTGTTTCGGACTTAATTTCATTAACTTTATCAATAACGGAATCGGAACGGAATGGCAATGGAACTAAGAGGTATTTAAACATTAAACTCCCCCGGATTCCAACGGGATCGGTTGCGACGGCGGAGAGAGAGCGTTTAAGGGATGATGCCGGGGGTGAAATTCGAACGTCAGATATGTCGGACTTCTCATCGATTGTACTGCGATGTCGAATGTGTCAGTTTGCGAAACATTCAAATGTTTGGTAGTGATGTCGATTGGGAAAATAAACTGGCTCACCTGATTACAAATTTGATTGATGTAGGTAGAATTGGAACCTCTGTAAATTTACCGTAAATATCCATGATAATTTGGAGTTATGCAATACAATAATTTACTCATCGTGTAAGATCACATGTGATATGGATATATATGTGATTTTACATTATACCTTTTTCTGAAATGTACTTTAACATTTCAGTATTACATGTAGAGTGAATGAAAAATACATAGATTGTGAATACTTTCGCAGTCACGTGAATTTACATAATTTTTTATGTGCATTTGTTATATTGAGAAATTTTGGTGCTTCAACAAATGATTCGTAATTTGTCTTTTCAAGCAGACTATCATCAGACTTGAGGCAACTTCAACTTTGAAACTTTTAGTACGGACCTATATTTTGAGTAATTTACATAAATTCACTGAAGTATTTCAACTATCTTGGAAAATTAGTAGGATATTTTTAGTTTCCCAAATCCAAAGCTTTTTCTCTCTTTGGAGAAAAAACTATCTCGAAGGCGATTGTGGATACTAACAACCGAAACGTCGTGAAGTAATTGGTTTGGAATCTGTTAATTTTATATTTTCAATCTTCATTTCTTGTTAATAATTTTTTATTTCTTTGGCTCGGGTTGATAGTTCAATATTTTTGTTTTTTTTTGGTTGTTGCTTATATGTTATTTCATTGTAATTTCAGTTACTTTGCTTAATAAAATTGTTTTTTCAGCTAATCTTATTAATTTTTTACAGATTCTTTCAGGGATTTCAAATCATTTTATATCATATTAGACCATGAAAGTACGAACTGATGAAATAGAGAATTGAAAATTGTATTTATATTTGTGATGACATCCAACTTTCTTGACTAATTTCTTTCCTTTCAGCTCCTCTCCTTCAATAGATGAGAAGTGAATAAAAAAAGGCTTTTTTGGGAGGGAAACTGTAGGAGTTACCTCTGTTGATGATATCGACAATATCAGAAATAAAATAAATGATAACAAATTTATTCATTATATACAGAAAGTAGGAATCATTACCAAAATACAGTCGGTATTCAACATGTTTCGTTGAGTTGTCCAAAGTCTAACAACACCGTGTATAAATTATTTGACATCTATTTTTTAAGAATTTTCAAAAAAAAATCGGGTTTTCTCGTATATCTCTGGGACCGAAAGAGTTAGGGTTGATTTCGAATAATTGATTTCGTAGTTACAATTATAATTCAACCTCATTATACAGTTACGATTAGTTGTGATTCTAAAGCGTCCCAGCTATATAATTTCTGTAGTCCTTCAAAGGTTTGTTTTCATTTTTATTTAATAGGTCCATGAGAGTCAGACGTACTACCTTGATGTTCTCTGTCATCAAACTTTACATCTTATCTCTTTTCATATTTTTTCTTAGCTTCAAACAACGACATACAACAGGGAACACCCTGTTTCCATCTCAGACGAGTCACCCCGTATATTTCTTATCCCATAGTGAGTGGAAAAATTTCCCGAAACACATCGAATGATTTTGTTTGGGGGACATATTTTAGGCTTGAACAAGCAATCCCTTAATAGGGGGCTCTTCAACCCCTCAAACTTGTATAGGGGAGAGGGGTTGAGTGATACTTTATTTGAAAGGTCTTGGAAGCCTCTTTAAAACGGTGTATGAAAAACGTAAAATTGATGAACCGTTTTCGCCAAAAATCTATTTTACAGCTCGAATGAGCCACCTTGAATAATTTGGTTATTTTTACAATGCACAAGTCCATTTTTATTAAGCCCTTTTAACAAACTCAAATAATCGTCCACCTTTACACCTTATTCCTCCTTCTTTGACACTTTCCACTTCAATAATCAACATTTTTCTTATAAAAAACTCAATTTACGATCTACGTCAAATAACTCCAATTATGCTGAACCATGTCATAGACGGTTTTCAATCAAGAGTGTATTATTGTATGTAAGTTAATGGAGAACATTTTGAACATTTGATTTAAACACGCAGATTTAATTTTTTTGTTTGTAAGCATGATGATAAAACCATTAAATTTTTTCAAGAATGTGATTTTTTAGGGCTTGATAAAAATGGGATTGTACATGTAAAAATAACCAAATTATTCAAGGTGGCTCATTCGAGCTGCAAAATTGATTTTTGGCGAAAACGGTTCATCAAATTTATAAAGTATCACTCCTATTAGGGGTTGTTCGTTCAAGCTTAAAATATACGTCAAAAGATGTCCCCCAAACAAAATCATTCGACGTGTTTCAGGAAATGTTTCCACTCACTATGGGATAAGAAATATACGGGTTGGCTTGTCTGAGATGGAACACCCTGTATAATGAGTGAACAGAATATAGTATCTGTATTCCCAGTATCTGTATCAGGATCATACACCAGTGTTATATGTATCACAATCTATAATTTTCACAATTCGAATATTTATATGTACCTAATATATTCCCTCACACAAAAATTGGAAAATATAACATTCTCATGAACTTTCAGTACGTTCTGCGAGTTGTTTCATATTCCTTGTTCCTTTTCAGATTGAGCGTTTCGCGTCGGTAAGAAGCCATCATCATTCTCCCAGCACAGCAGATCGGAGCCACGGTGGCACCATGGCCATCCGGGATTACCTCCGTAGACGACATGGCACACAAAGGTAAATAAATTGAACGTAAATTAGGCTCCATCTAGCGAATTTGATAGTTATTTATGTAACAAGGACGTAAAATATGCTTTTATGGACCGCACCGTGTTAGGTCCATGAAAGGTCCATGGCCTAGGTCCATAAAAGCAAATTACGCCCAAAATACATACAACATTTTATGCACGGCGGGTATCGTTGATGTCATGTAGATAGATACCTCTTTATATCTAGGAAACGATAGAACTACATTAAGGCTGCATATTCATATCATATCGAAAACATAATCAATCAAGAAGTGATGGAATGAATGTAAGCATTCATTCAATTTTTCGAAATAAGATTATATAGGCTAGCAGTTGTATTTGCTGTCGATTTTTGTGATTACAAATAATTTATTAGTGATTTTGAAATGGATTCAAGCGACAAAGAAAAGGTGAGTTGTACTCCACCAGAAATAAGTGAAGCAGCTGAGGATGTGAAATTGAGTTCATTGCCAAGTAAATCCAAGAAAATAAACTACAAAGTGTATGAAGAATTCGTAAGCCCTCTCTCTTCCATGTGGTCATATTATTTCATGCTTAAAGCTACTTTGAAAGTACATGATAATAGAGATATCAGTAGATACGCAAGATTGATAGCTTTTGATGAGTTACCTATAAGTTCAATAGATGTATTGATAGTCTGATGATGGTGGTTGACGGATTCTCGACTCATGATGTGCATTCCTTTATAATTCAGATATATGTTTCAATAATTTTGCATTTATTGAAACCATCGGAATATAGATTTCTATCGATATCAGACTGAAATTCAGTCTGATATCGATATGCTCAGTGCGGGCGCTAAAGTGATACTTTACGCCAGGTCGTGCATAATAATATATTATGTGACTTTGAAATGATCACTTAGCGTCAAACGAACTTTTTTAATCACTTTTTTGATTATTATTTTCTCAACATTTCAACTTGTCTGTTATGAAAACTATTCCTTCCATAAAAATCAATTATCGTCACAATTCACTTTTTTATCAGATTAACCTATATAAAAGTCAATGGATTTACACCTACGTGTTGGTGAATTTCACTCTTCCAACACAAGACAAATGAAACATTTTTTCATATCTGCCAGAACGAAATTGAACTCTTGTGCGCCAAGTTGTTCAGATCTGAGGCTATTTAACGCATTGCGTAGTCACGTTAGAGACTATTATGAATATTTAATTCGTCATATCAGTGACGTCTCACTGATAATAAATCTCAGCATTGATTTCTACAGCAGTGCTTTTTTAGATTCAATTATGTCACTAAGTATCAGATCTTTTCACAAAAACCACACGCACAAATAAGAAATCACATCATCATTCCCTTGATTTGCAGATTTTTCCACTTCGTTTATTCTCCCGAAATTTAGAAACAAATCTAATTTCAAATTTTTATTCAACCACCCATAACAAATTTTCATAAAATTTTGAAAAAGCTTCATTGAGTCAGTAAATACATACAACTTGCAATGAATACAGTACAATAGCATCATCCTGTTTTGAATTTCTAACCGATACATCGGACAAACATGAGTGAATGGGATAATCCAACAGCAAGTCCGGGAAACCTCCCTTTTTCAGCAGCCAGTAACGATGATTCTTCATTCCACCACGGTAACTCCAGTTGTTATATATTGTACGAAGTATAAAATGTGGAAAATTCCAGAACACTTGCTACTGTCAGAAGGAGAAAAAATGAATTAATAAATAATTTCACATAACAATCAAAGTATTGAAGCAACATCAACAATTCTTCAATATTTTAAACTAGAAACCAAAAACAAGGCATCTGTGATCCAGCAGTGGTATTTCGATCCACCATAGGTATCATCAGTGGTGCTAAGCTGAACCATGAATGTATTGCCGGGCTTCAGTATTCTACTCAGGCTTGTCCTTTGAGGATAGTGTAGTCTAGAAATACATTCGTGATGAATATTGTGAAATGCTGGTACTTACAAAATGGAGGTGCTAACATGGCTTATAAAACCAATGATGACTGAAACATATCTTTCAAAAATAACCAAGGCTAGAGTTTGGTAATAGATGGATGAGGAGTTTATAAATTGTCGGTTTTATAGGACAAACTGGAAGAACATTAAGATCACGATTGAAAGAACATAGAAATGATTTCCAGAATGAAAAGAGAAACCCAAAGTATGCTACTCACCTCATCACAGTGAGCATGAGTTTGATCACGTCTTCAAACTCCTTTATTTCCAGAAAAAAAGTTTGAGACTCAATCTCCAATATCTACGTAGTGGGAAATCATAATGAAGAAAAGAGAAAGAGGGAGTTTGATTATAAGTTTGATGTATAAGTTTGAAAATGTCCTTATAGAACAAAACGGCAGTAACGTTAGTTACAAATAAAAGTGATAAAAACATAAAAAGTTTCAATTCTCTTTTCATTAAGTTGATTCAAATAACTGGCATCTGCTGGATTTTTCTAATCAGGCAATCATTATTAGCCCCCTCTCATTATAATAGTCAATTATTTATTTCTATTAAGAATACTTTGATAGATTTATTTCATCTCAGAGGTTCAAATCATACCTATAAATACGTTTATTAATGTTCACTATAAAACAATGATTCATTGTTTATATCTGGTCTTTAAAGGTAGACTTGATTATCCGATTGCAACGTAGATACTAATTGATCGTGTTAGAGTATAAAATGGAATTCATTTATCAATCCTACTTGAGAATGCTCTGTCTAGGTTTCTAATACAGAATCTATAGTAGAACGTTTTATAAATCATCTTCTCTGAAGGATGGGAAAAATTCCGGAAAAATAATATCACTTGAGCTAATCTCCCATAAAGGTACACTCTTCAGTAATGACCTTGGTGGAATGAGAGAATTTCCAATTGGTGTATATGGGATGAAAACACCCCTCGGTCGGTTTCGGCCGTAACTGAACGGGAGCTTACAACTCTCCGACAATGGTAACATTTCCAATTACAATTCGTTATGGCTTTCAAGAAGCCGACGTACAAGGGTTTGTTTGACGTTTCTATTTCTCTATTTGCCGCATTATGTGTGTTTCTTGTTTGTTATTTTGGCCGCGTCGGGCTTGTTGACAGATGCAATCGAGATGTTTTCGATGGAAGATAGGTGTGAATCGATGAGAGAAATATACTTCGAATATATAGGGGTCTTCTTCCATTCACCGATTCCTATCTTTACATTTGAATAAAACAAAGTGTGTGTGAGATATCATCGAAATTTTTTATTCATTTGACCCATTGTCGCCATTATGTTGAAATATAATATTCTTCAAATATCCGCATCCGAAACTTCCAACTTTCCATGACTCTGTCGCATAAATCAGGCTGAATTTGACCGATGACATGGGTTATGTTGGCTCTGAGGGCAGCTGTGGCTTATTCGCATACACCTTCGTCTTAAGAAAACCCCACAAGAAAAAGTCCAACAGAGTCAAATCGTACGATCTTGTGAGCGACTGCCTTGGATTCTTCTGCACACTCTCACAGATTCGGGTGATGTTTTCAGCACATCTTGCGTTTTGTCGACGTACGGGTGTTGCTTGATCGTTTACCGACAAATTTTTCCACCACATTGCAAATAGTTCTCTCGGTAGGATGATTATCGCGACCGTAAAATAGGCGAAGCGCGCGGTATGTTGCCCGAACAGAGCACCCATTTTGATAAAACAATTTTATTATTTACACGTGTTGTTGAATGCTACAACCGTTCATGGTGATTTGGCAAAACAGATTGAATAAATGACAAGTAATTTGACAGATATAGCTTCAACAAGATGGCCATTATCAATTGTCAATGTTCGGAACTCCCTGTTGGAAGACCTTATATAACGCCATGAAAATTTGATGTTAATTTTTTTATTTATTTTTAATAACAAATTCATCTCTCAATCAGAGAAAACAAAACATAATTTCGGTACCATAAAGCTGTTGTTTCGTGAACAGACATGTTGAATTTTATCAATATATAAGCGTTGGAATCGTAAGTTGAAAGGTGAGACCTCGTTAGTCATTAACTCGTACAAGTTTGGATTTTTGCCTGACAGCTTGTAAACGGAAAAACAGTTTTCAATGGATATTTTATTTTGAAACTCCCTTATCTAAAGCCTGGGTTAGCCAGAGGTTCCAATTCTACCAATCAACATTTGCTGCAACTTCTTCCTGATATATACGATTGGAAAAGCTCAATCATGTTGCTTCTAGTGTCATTGTTTGAAACTTAAACTTATTTTATTTGAATCGTGCTTTGAATCAATCTGAAATACTGAAGAGTGCAATTGGTCTATAATTTTCAGGATTACCTTCTTCACTTCATTTAGAAATTGGAAAAATTCAAATTTGTTTTCAGTTCAAGTGGAAATATACCAAGTTAAAAAATAAGTAGTAAATTTAGTAGTTGATATATTCAAAATGGCTATAGAAAACATAGATAGATAGATATAGTCCTTTGTGCTACATCCTCAATTATTGAATTTTCCATATCTTAATCATTCATTTATTTAATTAATATGTCAATTCAGTAAATTTATTTTCTCACTGTTATTCTTTATTAATAAATTAGGTTTACTTTTAGCAAGTAAGTTAGATGTAATTATTTGTTGTATTCATATAATTTATTGTGAAATCTCTTAAACTTAATTGGGTGTTACTCATTAATGAATGAATAAATTATGTAGATGGGACAGGTCATATTTCTCAGGTATAATATAAATGTGTAATATTATAAGATGTCATTTGAATAAAAAAATAACGTGACACACATTGTAAAACAAACACATACATATTAAAATATAAGTAAAAACTAGAAATAGATAAATAAAGAAAATGTTAGCAACTGACATTACCAACTTCAAGTATCGATTCATCTATTGTGTGAAAATCTTTTTCTGATAGAAACACTGTTTTTTAAAAACTCGAGGTGGCAATGTCTCCATATCGCATGTCAGTATATTAAAGACACGAATAC